CCGAATCGCAAACGCACTGCAGAGAGTTTCACGCTGTCAAACGACAGCAATTGACTAAGGGCCCTTCAATATCCAGTTAACACAAACCGGAGGTAAAATGTCCATAATGACGTCTAGTAACTTTGACGAAAGCTTAACTTATTTTATTTTATTCATTTTAGTGCAGTTTTAAAAATCTTTTGCTAAAAAAACTTTTGTAACACTATTTTATTTTATTCCTTTGATTGTACATGTTAAATAAAAGCTTGTTTTTAAAAAATATTTTTTAACATCATATATTTTATTTTTATTTATATAATGAAAACTGCTCGTATAAAGATTTTATTTTGTTGCTTTAAATAGAAAAGTTCTTTAAATGTAAAGTCTATCTTAAACTGAAGCATTTTTATCTAAGTTAAGGGCCCATTGTTCAATGTATGGCTATCACCAGTACATCATTATCGAAGATTTCGACATCATGCATATAACATGTGATCGATAATGCAGTTATTGTATTTAACCGGAGCTTCTACCTCCGATTTGTGTTAATCAGACATTGAACAACGGGCCTTAAGAGCCAATTTCAAATGAATATTCAAACGGCACTTAAGTTTAATTCTGGACTGCTGTTTAAATTCCATTTAGCTTTCGTTGGGTTTCAGACAACTTTATTTAAATATGCCAATCAATTGGCAGCACTGCTGCTGGTTCCTTGAAATTGTTGTTGCATTTGCTTTTTTGTTTATAGGGCTTTCGCACGAGGCGATTTTTCAGGCAACTTTTAGTTGAAAGCAAAAATCGCCTCGTCCGAACGGCCTTTCAACTAATCGCTTTCAACAAAGTTGGTCGCCAGCCAACTTTGAGCTCGTTCAACTTTTTTTCCTTGCAACCCTGTGTTTGTTTACATTCTGTATCAGTGTTGAGAAATTTTGTTTTAATCAGTTGGGAAATTAAATTGTTCCTTCAGTAATAAATCTATACAAAAAATGTACTTTTCGGCTATAAATTGTATACACTTTTTAATTCGCTCATATATTTTCTTAGTACATTCCCTTCAAGACCAATGAATTTATGGTATTCATGAGAAAGTTTTATTGTTTATGTACATACGTTTACGTAGTTTACACTTTTACAAATTGATTCCACGTGCACATGTACTGCATTTAACGCAAATATGTATGCACACATTTTCAGGTATACATCTTAACAAAAAGCATATTTAAGTTATTATTAATGGATAAAAGAGACATTTTCCTTTGGATTCAGTACTAAAATTTGACATTTTAATAGCATTTCAAGTGCTTATCAAAACTTTACGACAAGATTTGACCATTTATCTTAATAGTATTCAATTTTAATTATTTTTTGTAAAAATACGGTTTATATTTTAAGAAAAGCTGTACAAATTCAAGGTTCAAACTTTGTGCAACATTAAAAAAAACCAACACACTTTCGTAAAAATTTCGAGCTTTTTAATTCGATTTCCTAGATTTATTTTGAGCGTGCGGTTTTTTAGCCCATTAAATTTTAATATAACTAAGTTTTTTAAGATTTCTTTGATGAAGGTGTTGCTAGTTTTCTCCATATAAAAAAATCGTCGGGCACACTTCGTATGGAAGAAAATGGCTGACATCGTCGACAAAAAAAAATTCCAAGTTCAACGGTAAGTCCCAGCTACTTTAAACTTGAACTTTATTATACTAAAATTGAATGGGCTAAAAACTAAAGAATATTAATAAAGCTCGAAATTTTTACGAAAGTATGTTGGTTTTTGGATGTTTCGCAAAGATTTAATCTTAGGTTTGTACAGTTTTTCTTAAAGAATACATTATATTTTATAAACAGATAATTAAAATTAAAGAATAATAAAATAAATAGTAAAATCTTGTCAATATGTGAGTGCCGTAAAGGTATTATATTTACGAAAATCTCTTCTTATAACTAACGAAGACTTTGTTTCTATATGAAGCTGACTTCGACATTTTGTTTTAATAAAACTTAGTATCGAAAAGTTTCTTTAAAAATTTGACTAGGCTATATTATACTGGTTCGTTGAAGCCATTTTTCAAAACTTACTAAGGTAAATACGAACAGGCGAACCAAAGAGAACACAAAAAATTTCTTGCTGTGAATTTTCAGAGCTATATATTTTTAGTATTCATTACAAAATTTTACTAAAAAGTACTGCGTAGTAGGAAAGTATATTGTAAATGAAATTGTATAAAACAAGTACAATTGTACCAAAAATTCCAACACTGTTCTGTATCATACTTTTTTTTTCTTTTTTACTTTTTTACTCTTATTTTATCTTTCAGCTTCGCTAAAAGCACTTCTACCAACGCTTGGCTTACCAAATTTATGCCAATTGATCAAATTTTGCGATTTAAATTCATTTTCAATAATGTAAATAACGATTCGTGTTGAATCGAAAATCGCCTCGTCTGAATAGGGATGGCAACTTTTTCACTTTCAACTTCTCATTCAACTTCGTATTCAACTTTTGTTGCCTGTAAAATCGCCTCGTGCGAATGCCCTATTACATTTTGTGCTGAACAGCTGATTGTTTTTTGGTGGGATTTAGTTGGATTGATTAAACAACCTACCAATCAATCTTGGTTGTTTGGTACAAACCCAGGGTTGCATATCTCATATTTAAATAGCCAATATTGGCCATTTAAGTTCAGATTAAATGTATGATCTGAAAATGAATAGTGAAAGTTAATCAACAATCTCTACTTAAGTAGGCCATCTGAAATTGGACCTAAGCCGTTTGACCACGTCGGTATGTAATTTATAGCAGTTATTTTCCGTTTACCTTTAACATCCCATCGCACACGACTATGCAGCATTATCCACATTGCCTTAACAGTATTCAGAAGAAACACATCGTACACAGGGCTGCCAACTTGGATCAAACCGAGCCATTTTTGATTAAACAAAGTAATATTTCAATTCATTTTTGTGAAATCCTTTGCGTGTACTTCTTTTTGTCAACTAAAATTTTCTAATTTCAATAGTGTATACAACTTATGCGTGGCTTTTGTTGTATCTCTGTATTTCCATAACTCCCTGTGTGAGGAAACCAAATAATGTACCCCTTAACAGAAATGCTTAAAATTTAACTTTTATAATCTACAATGTAACGCGATTAATATTACTGTTTAGTTTTAAGTATTCGTTTTATTTAACCCGTTTTTATTTCATTTTATCAACTATAATTTGTTTGCGTAATCGAACCTAATACATCTTAAGAATCTATTTTGCTTTTGTATTAGCGAAATAACAAAAATAAATAACAGTTTGGCAATTTAAACACTGTTGAAGTTGATTTCCTTACTAGCGCCTGCAAGTATACTTCTTATTTACTACCGCCGGTATCTTTAACAATTTTATAGTGCTTTTACGTTCTTTGGCAAATTACGCTCTGTTAGCCATAAATTTTACTATGTTTTGACCGCCTTTGTATCCAGACTCCTGGACCATATAGGGAATTCATTTATATTTTAAATTGCATTTTCATCATGGTTGGAATTATGCTGAAAATTTCAAGTCTCTACCTTGTCGGGAAGCTAGTCTAAAATCGATTGGAAATTTTCGCGGTATGACCAAGTTAAATAAAAGCTTGTAAAAAGAAATCTGATAAGGAGATGTGATCTCCGAAATAGCTGCTGTAACTTCTTCCGATTAGACTTTGTTGCATTTTCAATTTTTCTTAATAAACAATCGTGGTACAAAGCTCAATAAAAGTATTAAAAATAAAATATTAATAAGCCACAATAACATTGACAAATACATAGTTTAGGAAGCGCCTGCCTGAAACTATACAATAAAGTAAATAAGCAAATGGATGTATAGAATTGACAACATGAACCACGCTGTCAAGTTTAAATAGCGGCAAATCAGCTGCACTTGATAGTACCCTGCAGTGAAAAGCCAAACCAGTTAGAAAAAATACTAGTTCATTAACTAGTATGTGCCTACCAGTTCGACAATTTCGAAGAACTTAGGCGACATCTGCTTTTGAATTGCCAAAGCCAAAAATAAAACGCAATTAATTGCTTTTCTTACAAATGTCGGCTGTGGCGTCACGTGAAGACTACTGGTTCTGGTTCTGAAATCGCAGGTTCGAGGCCGCTTGGAGGTGGTTAAGATTTTTAAAGTTAAATAAATGTAAGTAAAAATAATTTATTCAATTTATAAATAAATAACAAATTTGAAAATCGAATTGCGTTGCAAAAAAACATTTAGGAAGAAATATAAAAACAAAGAAATTAAACAAAAATATTTTTTTATTAAATTAAAAAATTACAATTAACAGCATAAACAAAAAAATAAATTTATAAAAAATAAAAATAAAATAAAAAATAGAAAATAAAAAAATTTTACCTGCGCCAGGATTTGAACCTGGGACCACAGGCTTACCACGCGAGTGCTCTTCTCTGTCGGCCATTGTGACTGCTGTAGCGTCGCGAGCAAAAAGGCACACTTATGCTTTTCACGGGGCATGAATTGGCAGACTATCTCATCAACTGGTATGATGCTACTAGTATTTATACTAGTAGATGCTGATGCATAGCCTGACAATTGACATCTCGTAGGACATCGCAATGTTAAAAATACCAGTCGCTAACATTGAAAAAGGATAGAACGTGAACTAGTTCGGCTGAAACGCAAACCGGTAGAATTCTAGTTCACAACTAGTAGCTTTCCCTGCAGGGTAGTTAGTTGAATAAGGAAAATGAATTAACTTTGAACATCGCAGGTTCAATCCCTGCTGAAGTCGAGAGAAAAGAAGTCTGATAAGGAGATGTGGTGATCTCCGAAATAGCTGCTATAACTTCTACCGCTTAGACTGCGTTGCTTTTTCAATTTTTCCTAATAAACAATAGTGGTACAAAGCTGAATAAAAATAATAAAAATAATATGGTAATAAGCCACATTGACATAAAAATTTATTATTTATTAGATATTTAGTTAATTTAATTACTCATTTAACACAACCTAAATTTCATATTTTTTGTAAATAAAAATATAGTTTAGGTTTGAATTGCCTAAACAGAGTGTTTTTCAAACTTTTTTAGTATATTGTCTCGCCCAAGGTAATAGTTGCGTTTTCGCAACGGCCCACCCTAGGAAGCCCAATGTGACTAACATTTTTTTGATCACTTCTCCATCGTTTGTAGGCCTAAAATAGCTCATGTACTAAGTTTTACTAAAAAATTCAAAAAATTTTTACATCTGGGATGAAATGAGCAAATCCTTTATTTCTCATTTGTCCCGTTAAATTTTTGTTCATCCCGTATTTTTGGGACAAATTATGCATTTGTCCCATATGGCTGGAAAAAAATTTGGCAACACTAAACCGAAGTGGAGTTCGGATTGAGTCGTCTCTGGCAAACGCAGCAAAAGTAGATTTCTGGCCTGGGGTTGGACTCATTGCCTGCGCGGAGAAGAAGGATGCGGAGCAATCCGTGGACGAAAAACGGTTGATGGGGTTCTCCGATCTCAACGGGCTAAGGTCGCCAGCCCTTGGTAGAGTAAAACAAGAGTCATTCCGGAACGTAGAACTGAGCGAACTTCGTCATTTGCTTTGGCTGTGCGCGTTCTCATATACGTTAGAATGTTTTATTTTTTCCGACGAACATTCGCGACTAAAAATTTGCCGCTCGGCAGTGTTGTGCAGCAGCTATAAAAGTAGGTGAAATTGTACCAACTCTTCAGCGCTTTAGATTTGCAGTTACATATTTATATGCGATACAAGCACACTTTTCTTGCCTTATTTGTAGAGGGGCATAGAGATTGCTTAAAACATAGTTTTGTATTGAACTGTTAGGAGAAATTCTTTTGAAGTTCAAAAGTAGATATGGTAATGAAGGGAGAGGTTGACTACCCACTATGAAAAATGTAAACACATAAGAATAAAATGTATTTACTTTTTTGGTGCATTTATCTAATTTCAGGAAAAATTTATCGGGAAATTGATACTTTTGAATCAAGGCGAATCGATATAAGGTGGTGGCAATTGCATATAAGTAAAAATCCCGTGTATTTTGTTATTGCTTTTTGGTACATCAGGATGTCAAAACGTAAGGGAATAGGAGAAGATTTTTGCCATTACGTTTTGTTCACATCCTAAAGTTACGCCATTTCGTCTTGTATGACATTCTTCTGTACTAGTGTAGACACAAAAATATCCAATCAGCTGTTCAATCAACACCACCTTGTGTTGGTGCGCCTTGATTTGAATATTTAAATTTCATCCGCAGTGCGAAAAATACTTTAGTGACATCAGCTAATGGACAAAGAGGATCAGTTGTACGCGGAAGGCGCCACCTTTATTTTCATACATATGTATATACTCGTACAAATACTATTTAATGTTTTATTTCCGCTCATTTACTATGTATTTATCGCCACAGTACAAAAAAAAAAACTGAATTTTAATATATACATACATATTTTACAATTTAGGTCTTAAAAGCGAATATCAAGTAAATTAATTAATTTTGCTGTCATTTTGTATTATCTTCTCAGACGCTTGCCGTAATATTTGTAATTCGCGCGCAAAATTATTACTTTCATTGACACCATGGCTGCTGTGGGGGTGATGCTGGTATTGGTATTGGCTACGGAACACTTGTATCGGAGTCTGAATTGTGTACGCATTCTGTACTCTGTTCATCAACAAAATCTCGGCATCTGTTTGCTCGTCAGTATGGTCATGATCATAATCACTTGAGTTACCACAACTACCGTGACTATGTCCATGCCCGTCTTCCCCTGTTTGTAAAGATAGAAAAAAAGAAAAATGAGTTCAGAGCTAAAAATAAAACAATAATTTGATGCTTCGCCATTATACAGAGAAGTTACTGTTAAATAAATAAAGTTCTTAAATATATTTATTTCTTTGAATTTCAGAGAGAATTGGCAGACAGAGCCGAAAGGCTATAATAGCAGCATATTCTGTTTCGCCATTATACGGAGAAGTTACTGTTAAATATTTACAATTCTTATATATATTTATTTCATTGAATATCAAAGAGAATTGGCAGACAGAGTGCGCAAAGGCAGCATATTCTGGACAGTGGTGAATAAGGATGTCAGTGGCAAAAATACATCGATGTTTTTCTTTTATTCAATGCATCAAAATGTACATCGATATTTTTCGATGCGTCGAAGGGCATACATCGATGCATCGATTTGCATGAGATTTTTCACATAATGTTTCACAACAAAATATGTTATTAGAAAATTGTACAAAATTTGAAATAAATTACTGCAACTGAGCTAATTATGTTTCCGAACAATACGAAAAAAAAATTATTAAAATCGGTTTACCCGTTGTCGAGTTTTGACGACCGTGATATACGAACACAACATTTCGATATATATGGGCAAATCTAAATAAATAAAATTATAGTTTAAAAAACTAAAACCTCCCTATTATAATTGCCATTCGTACTGTCATCAGGTATGTAACTTGAGAATAGAAATCGCTGCATCTTTTACGCGCATCAATATTACATAGTTACATCCCGAGCTAATAAAAGGAAGGTAATAATAATAATAAAACAGGTAACCTTGGAGTTATTTAGCTTTATTTTCACTGTTGGAAACTATATCAAGCTGGTTGCTTTTGGATATAATTCACTGACTTATACTTGAAGCCTCAAAAAAAATTTGGATCAATTTGCTGCATAACTTTTGAATTATAGGTGTTTAAATTTAAAAAAATAATGAAAACAAGTGAATTTTTTATGTAATTGTTAAGAGGGGCAAAATTAATTATGTCATAACTTTGGAAGCACACCATATTCTGATTTGAAATTTAATGAGCATTTAGCACTTATGTGTATACTTCATATGTAGTAGGTATGTAAGTGTGCATTAAAAAATAACGAAATGGCCATTAACTCAAAGTCTGTAACTTCGCATTTCACCATTTTCAACATTTTCGGTTTATCGCGTGTAGTTTTTGAAGCATTTAATTTTAAGAACTTTTTAAGTATGTATTGTATTCTACAAACAATTATGTATAATTTGACACCATAGCAAGAGGTGTGCTTTCAGAATAAACCAAATTTTAAAGATCTGAGCGTAATTTTTATTTCAAAAATATCTTAATTGAAGGCACATTTGGAAAATACGTCGAGACGATCTAAATATTTTTATTAACTACTAGTCCTTATAACGTTGCATATACCTGTAAAATGCTTCAAAAAAATGTTCTCTAGAAGTGTGTAAAAACCCCGATTTAGTACTTTCCATTATGCTCCTTCTTGTAGTCAGAATATTTCGAGCGTGGTATCAACTCAAATTTTTTTCGACAAAGGTTCTGATAGTTGCTGTTACTTAATTGGAGCCTTTTAAATTCAATGGCGTCCCCAGTTTTGCCCGATTGTCTCCACTTTTGGAAATAGCGGTACTTGAAACTTTGCTTAAATGTGAACTATTTTATAAAAAAAACTCCCTCAGTTTTGAAGATATTTTACTAAAATTTTGCACACACTTGTGTTTTAATATTTCCTTCACTATCCCATAAAATCATCGAAATCGGTTCACTCTAAAATCTAGCTCCCATACAACTGATTGTCCAGAGACGTTGTTTTACGTTATAACTCCTCCAATTAAGCATTATTCAGATATGAAATTAGAGTTATAGCGCAAAAACACATATCTGAGTAATCAGTTGTATTGGAGCTATACGTTAAAGTTCACCCATTTCGATAATTTTAAGGAATAATTAAGGTAATATTAAAAAACCGTTATGTCCAAAATTTTAGTAAAATAACTTCAAAACTGAGGGAGTTATTTATAAAATGGTTAGAATTTTATCAAGTGAGTTCAACTTTCAAAATCTTTGCTCAAAATTTACAACTTGAACAACATAATTTGAACCCTGCGTATTCTTTTGTTTTCTATTTCATGTTTATTCCTCGTCTAATTTTTTAAGCACTTGATGAAAATGAATTGCACTTATATTAATCGATTCATTAAGAGAGTACGAATAAAATGATATATAAAACATAGGTGTGCTCACAAATTTAAAAATTAAAATTTTTTTTTGGAGAGTGTACCTGTTTTTTAGATTTGCCCACATAGATATGTGGGCGATATCACGCTCATTTTCCAAAATTCCAAACAATGTTACTTCTTTTCAAGAAATTGTTTTTAGTATCAATTTTGACTAAATTAGCGTCCTTAAATTTCGAAATATTGAAGGTCAAGCATTTCTGAAATTTACCGTTATATGAAAAGCGGCCGTAATTTTAGTCCGATTTCAATAATTTACAACGTTTTGCTTTTATGTGGCAAGCACAATAACCATACCGAGTTTGGTAAAAATTGGTGGTTACCGAGATACATATATCTGATCATAAGTGGGCGGTGCGACGTCCATTTTCCAAAATTTTAGCATAAATGCATTTTTTTTTTGTTGCAAGCATCAATTTTGAATAAATTAGCTTTAATATTTACTGATTTATCGAGTATTTCGTATTTCTCTAAATTACCGTCATATGGGATGTGGGCGTGGTTATTGTCCGATTTTAAAAGTTTTCGGCCATTTGGTATGATGTATAAAGGCCAACAACTGTGCCAAGCTTGGAAGAAATTGGTGCAGCGGCTACCAAGATATAGACATGTAACCATAAGTGGGCGTGCTTACGCCCATTTTCCAAAAGATTATAATATTCTTATTTTTCGTCTAAAAATTATTGTAAATATCAATTTTGAGTGAATAATCTTCAGTAGTTACTAAAATATCGCAGTTTTCGCATTTCTGAAAATTACCGTTATATGGGTGGTAGGCGTGGTTATTGTCCGATTTTGCCCATTTTCAATACCATCCATCCTTAGGGATGCAAACGAAGCATCGATATTTTTGAAACATCGATAATATCGGTTCAAAATTCGATATTTGCCATCGATGTTTACAATTGCCTAAAATCGCTAAATCGAACATACGTCGATGCCAGTTTCAACGATGTTTTAACATCGACTTTAGTGTGACTCAGACTTGAATTCCACTTACCCATTAAGCTCCTAAATTTGTTTGACTGGCCATGAATTTTTATTACTTATGCTTTTGGGGAACATTCAGAAATTCCTTGTTTACTCGCATCTTTCGATAAAATGCTTACTTAATGATTAAAAAAGTGCCGGGTTCCCGTTAAAATTTCAACGAAGTTGGTCCTTGGATTTTTAGTCTCAGCGAACTTACTACGGTAAGCATTTTTATTCTATTTATAGGAAGAGTGTAGGAATGGTAAATAAATACAGGGAAATGCATCCATATGTAAGTATTTTTCTAATTGAATTACCGAGAGATGTAATTGAAAAGTTTTAAATTTTCCTTTTAATGTGACTACAACCTAACAAATTGTGAAACATCGAAAACCATCCATATATCGATGTTTTTCTGGCGATGTATTTTAGCATCGATGTTAATTTTTCCGATGCATCGAAACATCGATGTATCGATGTTACCTTCCAAAATTTGCATCCCTATCCATCCTACGCCCGAAAGAAGTGCACATACCAGGTTTCGTTAAAATATCTCAATGGGCACGGGCCTAAATTTTCAAGCCCAGCCCGGCACGAGTGCAAAATCAACTTTCAAAAACACGCACGAGCCCGCACGTTAATAATTTTATTGAGGCCCGGCACGATGGGACACGTCCCAGCCCGAAAATAAAGAGCCAACTTTTATTGTATGTATACATATGCACATATTTTTAATTTTGTGTTTATGTATGTATATTTACTTAAGCGAATCAATTTTTTACATCAAATATTTGTATAATATATTTTCTGGGAAGCAGGAAAAGTGGAAAGTATTTTATGTACAGATATGTAAACAAAACTACTAAGTAGCTAATTTTTTCTGTCGGTTCCCAAATATTTCTTTTCATACCTGAGCGCAGTTGTGCACAAGGGTATTATAACTTTGTTCACATAAAGGTTGCTTGTAACAGGCAAAACGAATCGAGATAGATATAGACAAATGTATACATAAATGATCAGAATGAAAAGAGAACTCGATTAAGCGGTGACTGTCTGTCCGTCCGTCCGTCTGTGCACACGATACCTCGAGTAAAAATTGAGATATCTTAACGAAACTTGGACGCGCACTTCTTTTGGGCGTAGAACGGATGGTATTGAAAATGGGCAAAATCGGACCACGCCTACCTCTCATATAACGGTAATTTTTAGAAATATGAAAACTGCGATATTTTAGTAACTACTGAAGATTATTCACTCAAAATTGATATTTATAATAATTTTTAGACGAAAAATAAGAATATTATAAATTTTTGGAAAATGGGCGCAGCCACGCCCACTTATAGTTAAATGTGTATATCTTGGTAACCGCTGCACCAATTTCTTCCAAACTTAGCACAGTTGTTGGCCTTGGTACAGCATACCAAACGCCGCAAATTTTCAAAATCGGACAATAACCACGCCCTCATCCCATATAACGGTAATTTAGAGAAATACGAAATCTTCGATAAAGCAGTAAATATTAAAGCTAATTTATTCAAAAATGATGCTTGCAACATTTCTTTACCAGGAAAAACGCCTATGATAAAATTTTGGAAAATGGGCGTGGCACCGCCCACCTATGATCACATATATGTATTTCGGTTACCGTTCTACCCATTTGTACCAAACTCGGTACGGTTATTGTGCTTGCCACATAAAAGCAAAGCACTGAAAATTATTGAAATCGGACTAAAATTACGACTGCTTTTCATACAATGGTAAATTTCAGAAATGCT